AGAGGGGAGGGGAGGAGAATCAGTGGGAACTCACCTATGGTGCATATTGCAAGGATAGATGTCAATCTATTAAGAGGATAAATGTCTTAACACAACAAGTAAGGTGAAGGCTATGTTAACCAGTTTGATGTAAACATTCCAAATTGTATATAAAATCAGCACATTGTACCCCATAAATGCATTAATGTACACAGTTATGATTTAATAAAAAAATTGTTGAGGAAAAAAGAAAACCAAGTCCTCAGAGTCCTCAAATATATGGAGAGAGAAAGTAGAACGTGACTGCCAAGGGCTAAGGAAGGGGGAGTGGGGACTTATTGTCAACTGGGACACCTTGTTTTGCCAGGTGAGGAGAGATCTGGAGATGGATGGTGGTGATGGCTGCAAAAAATGCAAATGTACTTAACACCCCTAAAATGTACCTGTGAAAATGGTTAAGATGGCATCATGTGTATGTTATCACAATACAAAATGGGGGAGGTAAAGGGGAAAAAGGTTTTACTATTGATTCCCATATGTTTTAGGGAAAGTAAAATTCTTATTTCCATCCACATCCTGCTTGGAGCCTCGGGGTTGGGGAACTTCTTTGGCGGACCTGTCACGGCTAATAGCACCCAAGAGGGTTCCCTGGGGAGTCGTGCTCCGGCAGCTCTACTTGGGGCAGCATGGCGGTGTGGTGGGCACCTTACCTGGACGGGTAGCCAGCTGCGCTGATGCGAATCGTCTCCAGCACCCCACAGGCTCTAAGCTGCTGCACCGCTCTCTTTGGGTCAAAGCTGCCAAACAATAAGACAAGTGATGAGCAGCTGTGGCTGCAAGATGGAACCCAACAGGAGGGAAACAAGGCCTTGGCCCACAGCACCTGAAGCTTCTGCTGCCCTGGAGTTAGATCATCACGTACTCTTGGGCTCAACGTCAGGGGTAAGCACAGGGTAAAAGACATCGATGGGCAGACCCGAGCCATCTCAGCATCTGTAGTCCTGTGCACATTCTCATCTTCACCCGGGATATGGTTCTCTGCTAATCCCTCCCACTAAGACTCCTTCCTTCCTCAGGCCAGAGCCTACCCTCATTTCCACCCTGATGGGCATGTGGCTTACTTAACTCAATATCCAACATACATGCACTTGGCATTATTATTTGAATCAGGCATTAAAACCCTTAGTTTCAAGCCAGGAGGACCTGAGTTTGAATCATGACATGGCTGCTTACCAGCTACATAATTAAGAGCAAGTAAGAATCTTCTTGGGCCTCAGTATAAATAGGTAACAGTAGGGTAACAGTAGGCTGTATTTTACCCGGTTAGCACGAAGCTTAAATGTTAACAGCCACGAAAGCACCAAGAACAGCCGCAGCACAACGTAAGACTCACGTGCTGTTAGCTACAGTCAGGACAGCTGCTCAGCTTGGATTACACACAACCTTATTTTCCTGTCTCCGCAGACGTGTGCACGGTTTTCACCCACTTACACTCTACAATGCTGAGCCCAGCACTGAAAACCTGTTATTTATTCAAATGCACGTGTTGAGCGTGACACTGAAGAAAAGGGCACTGTGGGAGCTTTGAGTATCCCTCTCTGAGCCTGAGGAGGGGAGCGGACGTACAGGAGTACAACGCCAGGCAGCACGCAATAAACCTGGAGTGCACGGGACAGAAGCAGAGGGCAGGACATCAGAGCTGGCTGGGCTAAACCAGGAGTGGTCATGGAGAAGGAACTAGGCGACCTGGAATGAAGCACCATTTGCTAAGACTACCTCCCTGCTCCATCGACAGGCCTGAGGAACAGGTGCTCCCTTTCCTTCCGACCATCCTGCAGCTCAACCACTGCCAAAGGTCAAACTTCTTTTGTTCCCTGAGTGCCTGGTGCCCGAGGACTTTAGATACATCATCTCATTCCTTGTAACCACCTATGACATGGAGGGCAGGTGCAAGGACCCTCCAGGCTCACAGCCATGGACCTGGGAGACTGCAGTGGCTTCAGCGCAAATGCGAGCCAGGCAGTTGGGCAGCTTGTCTGTCCTGCAGGGTAAAGGCAGATGGAGGCTTCATCAGCTCCAGGACCTGCGACAGCCTAACATGCAACCTCTCACCAAGCTGTCTGACACTCCCCTGTCAATCATCCTTGTCCCAGTAGCTGGGA